GAAGTTTTATGTTGATTCGAATTTTCCATAAGGGGATTGTTGTCTAACTTTAATATTCAAAGATAAATTCATAATTGTGTACTTAATCAACAAGAGTGAGTTCTACATTTTACATTCATCCATTGATCCTTAATATATTGTAAGCTTTTCTCTTCTAGGTTGTTGGAGACCGGAAAAGAGTAGTATTTGATAGCTTGGTTGAAGCACCCCTTCGACCATCCAATAAGAGAAAATACCAGGTCAGCTTTTTATGTTTGTATTATGATACTATTAGCTGCTTCATTTTGTGATACTATTAATATTATATTTTGTTTTATATTTTTGACATAAACTTTGTACAGGGAACAAACAGCACATTTGTTTTCACAAATATCTGAAGTTAATCAACAAAAGGATGATATGACATAAATACAATTATGAGACTTAAAAATAAGAAATATTAATTATGATACATGCATGAAACAATAATTTAGTTTGAATATTAAAAATTTAATTAAACTAAAAAAAAATAAAACAATTGTTCCCTTATATACAATAAGGACTTAATATAATATATGTTACGATGCTGATCCTTAGAAGTAAAACTAATGAATACTGATGACTATAAACGTTGCAATATTATCTAAAATCAACATCATAACAAATTATACGGAATAAATAATAAATTATACGAATGACATACTTTTTAATTGCCTTCAAAATTGTTTAAAATAATACTTTTATAATATTTTACAAATGATCATATAAATAAGAATAAAACAATATTCTATAGAATTTCATTTTCCTAAAACTATTTTAGGTTCAAGTATTAAGAATGCATCATTTAAAATATTTGACCATTTTTGAATATTTTAATACCAAATATTTATAGAATTCAAAAAGTCTTCCAACATTTGGAATCCAGAATATTATATTTAACATTCCATCTATACATTAAATGAAATAATATAGGCCTAAGATGATTTTCAATACATTTAACGATAATAAAATATAAATTAGATTAATAAGAAAAAAATACGTTCCCAAATACAAAAAAACAAAAAACACAAAACTTATATCAAGATTACCTAAATCCTAATCTTTAATTAAATGACCTAAAAATAAAAATTTAGAAATAGATAAACTAATTGTTATGCACGATCTATAGATATATTTTACACTATAATTCAATAAAAATATTATCATTTTGCTGCGTCATATAATTATTTTAAAATTTTTATTATAACTTAGCAAGATACATGGTCGTATTTAAGAAAAATTTACACCGTAAGATGATCTCACCGTTGATTTATTTGAATGTTTTGATTTTTTTCTAACTACTTAAAAAATAATATCAACCAATGGTTAAAAAATAATACCAATTAATAATTGTGATGTATTCACCGTGTAAAAAATTACACCGATCGTGCATAACAATTAATCTTTTAAAAAAATCCTTCCCAACATTTAGAATTCAGAATATTATATTAAAGGTTCCATCTATATATTAAATGAAAATAATATGGGCATAAGATGATTTTCAATACATTTCATGATCATAAAATATAAATTAGATTAATAATAAGAAAAAAAAAACAAAAAACAAAACTTATTTATAACAATATATAAAGACAATAAGCATTTTTGGTGTAACTTTTTTATTTCCAATTTTGTCCCTAATAAATTGATTTTATTACATTCTTTTATTAATTAGGTATTATTCTTCATCTTTCCTAACTTCTATGCGGTTTCTAAACCAATCCATCTTCTCTCTCCATTTTATATTCTTCCCATTAGATATATTGAGAGAGAGAAAAAATGTTGGAGAAGCAAATTAATTGAGAGAGAAAAAATGTTGGAGGAGCAAATTAAAGATATGGAAGAAAGAAAACAAAGATGAAAATGAAAGAGAAAGATAATAATGGTAACTGCTATCTTTTCTGTAGTATTTCTTTAAATTAACTTTAATTTTTCTGTTATGTTCTTTTGGCAACTCTTATTAAGTTTTTGTTTTTAATTAGTTTGAAGACAGTGAAGTAGAAAAAAAGTTGTTGTTAACATAAACATAGAGATTTTTTTTTATATGGAAAAGAGGTTATTTTTCCAATTTTCATACTATCTTTTTTTTAATTTTAATATTCTCACTAACTTTTAAAGTTTAACTATTTTGATCGATTTCTTTACCTATTTTTAATTTTATTCATTTCATTTTATTGTTTGATTAATAGATGAATATTATTGAAAATTATTTAGTATCATCGGTAATGCATAAGAAAGAAAGAAGTCAAATTTCTTTGTGTTCTTATTATTTTTAATTTGTAATTAAGACTTAATGATAAATTCATATTTTTGGTGTAGTTTCTTTGAGTATCAACAACATAATGCCGTTTTTTTTATTCACGTATCATTCCTTTTGTTTTAAGTATTCTACCATTTCCTTTCTTTATCACATACTACCTGCATTTTTATCTTCAATATTTTCATTTTTTCAATTTTTCTTCTTCAAAATTTAAAGGTTCTTAAATATTTGAGAATACCTAATAACTTTAATTTTCTTATACATACTTTCTACATCACTATTTTTATATATTTAATAATGATTCTTAATTTTTTTTTTTAGTTTTTAATGGATAAATCAAGCAAGATAGAAGAATGTGCAAGACAATGAGAAGAACACATGGACATAATCTTTCAAAATGTAACAAATATAAATCATTCACTTATAATTATTTCTATAGGTTTGATTAGTTATTAAAAGTTATTCATTTTAATTATATTACTTTGTAGTTTTTTGTATTTTTGAACCAACTCTATGTAAAATTATTATTAAAATTGTTAATTATTATATAAATTCTATTTATTATATCACAATTCTAATAAATTTATTAATATCTACGAACACTCCACCGAAGTAGATACGTAATACAGAAAAATGTCTTATGCATTTGGTTTTGCAATGTTGATTGATTATCTCTCTTCTTTTCTCTCTTAAATTATTCGTTTAATACTAAAGAAAAAACTCATCTCTCTCATTTTTATTTTTATTTTTTTAATATTTATGTTATGTTTTTAAAGAAAATTGAAGAAACTATTAATTTCAAAAGAGGCAGAATGCTACATATATGCGGCAAAATTTGAAGGGATTTCAAATGATCTTTTTTACACAAATATATATTTTTCATACAACTATTGAAATGAGTGTACAGATTATACTTCTATGGAATTGTACATATATTCTAATTTATTCACATTTCTTAAATTTTGTTCTCTTTATACGTTGTCTATTTTACTTAGTTTTTGAAGAATAATTTATATGTTTTTTCTGTCTAACAAGAACATGAAACTTTTAATCTCTCAAAATTTTGTTTATTTCACTTTATGTGAGATTAATTTATTTGTATTTATCTCACTAACTTTTATTTATGATTTCTTTTTATTCTCATAAAAAAATTTCTTTTTATAATATTTATTATGGTTTCTCTAAACTCTACTTAATATATTCTATAACTATTATTTATTCTATAACTATTATCTATTCTATAACTATAGATAAAGATAAAGAAGATAGATGATTTTGGACAGACCTATTCCATTCCTATTTTATCCTTTAAGTTGTACGCAATTTATTTAATTTTTAAAAATAAAGTGCTAACAAAATGATACAGTTTTTTTATAAGATGAGCGTAACTATCAAAGTTAGTTTTTTTAATGGAAAAAAAAACCAATTTTGATAGTTATGCATCTCTTACAGAAATGATGGAAGTGCAAAACACACTTATAAATGAATAGAAAATTGAAATTCATTCATTCAGTGACAACATAAAAAAAATACATCATCATACTCCACTATTTATGGTTTGTGAAAGATAAATAGAGAAAAAAATTCTTCATCTTCATCTCTTATTGATCACCAGTCTCTAATTCCTTCTCTAATTCTTTATCATACTTCATTGTTAATTGATATGAAGTTTCTTTTCCTTTAAAATGTTATGATTATTTCTTTAAGAGATAATTTGCCTTTATTTTAGAATCTATTTTGTTGATTTTGCATTTGGTTGTTGCAACTAAATATCAAATTATATTGATTTGGTTAGAGAATATTATTAAAAACAATAAAACATTATTTTTAAGTGTCTTTCTTTTTAAACCCATTGGTCTTAAAGGTAAGAAATATATGAAATGTTTATTTATGAATTGGTTCATCTGTATTTAATACAATACTAATAATATAATAGAAAACGAACAATAAATATTAAAGATTACACACACTTCCAAGATAATGCAGGAAAATGAGAATCAAATGTTAAAACATTTCTTAAAGTATTGCTTCAATAAATGAAAGAGTTTTGTTACAACAATCTTTGGAAGCATTTCATTGACCATATACTTAATAAAAAATTATATATATATATATATATATATATATATATATATATATATATATATATATATATATATATATATATATATATATATATATATATATATATATATATATATATATATATATATATATATATATGATAAATAATTTAAATTAAAACCAAAATCAAATAAAAAATATATTAATGAATTACTTCATTTGTTTTGTAGTGAAACGAGAGATATTTCTGATTTTGATTTCATGATTGACCTTCCTATTAAAAAATAATGTAACTTAATATCAGTATTAATAAATTGTGAGAAAGATTTTTGTTCTTCTTCTATCTAAATCTTCTTATGGTTTTGACTAATCTATAACAATATATAAATATAAAACTTAATGTTTCATCATATAAATAATTTATATTAAAATCAATATAAATAGTTTATAGTAAAATTAAATTTATAAAAAAATACACTGTTAATATTTTTGCGTGTTAGCGCAATAAAAAAAGCGGACAAAAAGCGGAAAAACAGACACGAACGTATCCGTTTGAACGCTATCACAATAACGTAAATACTAATCTTTAATTAAATGACCTAAATACAAAAATTTAGAAACAGATAAACGACCCTAATTACTAGCCCCATCCCTGGTATTAACGGGTGCAGTGGGTAACATTGAAAGTAGATTCTAATTTTCCATTAGAAATCAAAGGAACTCTCAAACCTAGACAATAAACATATTGATTAGATTCCAAATCTAATTTCAAATCTAAATTAATAATCCCCAATCGTGTCTCATTATCATACTCAATAAATTGTTGATCACTGAGTTTGATAAAACTGTTGCCGTAAAACACGACAGGTTTGAGCACAATGGTCTTCATAAAACCTGGGTCCAAGGGTGTCATATCCACTTCAGCAAATTTATTACCTTTATAAGATGAAATCGCTTTCATCATCATCATGTTCGCAAACAGATGGCCGTAATTTGTGTTTCTCGCAGTAATATTGACCTTAAAATTGTAGTATAAGGTGTTGTTGCTTGTGAGATTGAACTGCTTGATTGAGGCATCAGCTATGGCGAATTCCATTGGTAAATTGTTTCCGAGAGTGAGACCAAAATATATTATACAACCGAAAAGTAACATGAAAAGTACAATACACATGAGATTTCTGTACTTGTGCATGATTTGTGCTAACTTGGTAGGCGAAGGTTTCTCGGACATGATGGAGTTATTGGGGTTTCTGATTTAGATTGAATGGATATTGAGGACTTATGGTGCAACATATTTATAAGTACTTATTAGGGTTTCTGATTCAAATTGATTCCATATATTTTAAAACGACCTGTAAGTAACTAACTCCTAGATAATAGGATTTTTTTTTATCTTATAGTTTTAAGTTTGAATCATTTCAAATATTTTTAAATTTAAATTTTATATCGAATCTATAAGTAACTGAATCCTAAATAATAGGATGTTTTTTAATAATTTTAAATTTGAATCAAATCAAATTTAAATTTAGGGTTTATATTTTATATTAAATTATTTTTTTCCATCTCAGAATCATATCAAAACTAATTAATTTTTCTTCTTCTAAAAATTAAATCTTAGTTAATCCTAATAAATGAAAACTAATATAAAAAAAATCAAAATCTGATATCACGTCAATTCACTTTACGACATCATTTATATTCATCATTGACATGTTAAATGATTTTCGATTGATGTTAAATTATATATATATATATATATATATATATATATATATATATATATATATATATATATATATATATATATATATATATATATTTACGTGATAAAATTTTTCAATTTAACAATGAATTTGTTATACGAATATGCTATAAAGAGTTATCGGAGGTGTAATATTACTAAGATTGACATTTTGGCGTCATTTGATCCTAACACACATGCACACACCTAAACGTAAACACACTTTTAATTATTATTTAATTTATATGTATTTCAAATTAAAAGATGACAACCTAAGTTTTTTGGTTTTTGCCCTGCAGATGTCAGATCTGTAGTCTTCAGCTGTGACGACAATAAATGCCCCGGTACCGATGGATTCAATCTCAAATTCATTAAGTCTTGCTGGGAGATTCTGGGTATCGACTTCTCGAACTGCATCTTGGAATTTTTCAATACCGGCTACCTGCCTAAATCCTTCGCTTCTTCTTTCATCTCGCTTGTCCCGAAGACTAATAATCCCCAAAATTTCGAAGACTTTAGACCTATTAGCCTCGTCAGTTGTGTGCTGAAGGTAATATCAAAGATGCTCGCGTGCAGGCTCAGGAAGGTTATTCATTAAATTTTTCTCCATCTCAAACTGCTTTCATACCGGAACGACAGATTTACGATGGTGTTCTGTTGGCTAATGAGGTGGCTAATTTTGCAAAGAGATTCAAGAAGGGTTGTTTATTCTTCAAAGTTGATTTTGCTAAAGCTTATGACTGTGTGGATTGGTTATATTTAGATGCTCTGCTTGTTAAGATGGGGTTTGGGCCTAAGTGGATGAAATGGATTCGCGACTGTGTTTTCAATAGTTTTGTTTCTATTCTCATCAACGACAGTCCTTCGAAGGACTTTAGGGTTGGCGGGGGGCTGAAACAAGGTGACCCTCTCGCTCCTTTCCTGTTTGCTATAGCTGTAGAAGGGCTGTCGAGTTTGGTGAAATCAGCGGTTGCCAGTAATATGCTCTCCCAATTCATGATTCATGGTCAACCAACTGTGAGTATTCTCCAATTTGCTGACGATACTTTACTCATCGGAGACGGGTCAGCGTCAAACATTTGGGCTTTCAAGGCTATTCTTAGGGCCTTCGAGCTAATTTCAGGTCTCAAAACTAATTATTCCAAAAGCTGTTTGTTTGGGATTCATATAGATCCTGACTTTTTAGGGGCTGCCGAATATTTTCTTCACTGTAAATCGGGAAATCATCGTCGATACTCCTTCTGAAAACCGATCCTGCTGTGTTTGAAGAATAAATTATCTAATTGGCACGGGAGAAACTTGTCTATGGGGGGCAGAGTCATTCTCATTAATTCGGTCCTTGCTAACCTCCCTATCCATTATCTGGCTTTCTTCAAGGCTCCCAATAAGGTTGTGAAGGACTTTATAGCGGTTCAACGACGATTTTTATGGGCTGGGAACTCGAGTGAATCGTTTATCCCTTGGGTTTCTTGGAATTCCGTTTGTAAACCTAAGGAAGATGGTGGCCTGGGTATTAAGCATGTCGGTAGGTTGAATAGTGCTTTATTGGCAAAGTGGATTTGGAGATTTCAAACTGGTGAAAATGAAATATGGAGGAATACCCTTACTAACAGATACGGTAACCTTAACATTAAGTCTCAAACCTATTCTGAAGTGGATAGTTCGAGATCCAATTCGTTGTGGATGAAGGATATTATGGCTAATGCATCTCTAAACTCTCACGCCAACTTCTGTAATTTCATGGCCTGCTCTGTTGGTGAAGGTTATGATGCGGCGTTTTGGAAGTCAATTTGGATAGGCGACATGCCGTTAAAAGTCAGATTCAATGGTTTGTTTCAGAATTGCTCTATGAAGACAATGTCCGTTCGGGATATGGGTTACTGGGAGAATGGGAAGTGGATCTGGAAGTTGAGAGATTTGTTGGCTGATCCAGATTTTCATCCTGAACCAAAATGGTCTGAATGTTGTAGGTTGCTGGATAATATTTCAGTTACTCCTGGTGAATCCGAAAAATGGCGGTGGACTGCTCATGATTCTCTATCCTTCAAGGTTAGTTCTTTTTACTCAGTCCTTTACTCCTCCCTTCCTGAACAAGCCATTGGTTCAAACTGTGCTTCCCTTATTGAGTCCATCTGAAAGACAGTTATTCCGGTGAAAGTGCAAATTTTCAGTTGGAGATTGGCGCTTGATAGATTACCTACGAGATCTAATTTATTGAAAAGAAGGGCTCTTGATTCTGAGCAGGATCTGACTTGTGCGTCTTGTTCGAGTAGCTTGGAGGACGTATCCCATCTTTTCTTTTCGTGTTCTAAATCTATTCAGGTGTGGAACAAGATCTGTGAATGGGCGGATATAGACATAATTTTGGATTTTTGCTGCTACTCTCACGCTAAGGAGTGGAACATGAGCCTTAGAGGTCGGTGTCAAGCGAATAAAGTTTATTCGATTTGGTTTATAACTTGCTGTGTATTTGGAGGTCTGGAAATAATTGTATTTTTAATAATGAAGTCACTGAGGTCGATAGTATTGTCTTCGACATAAAACTTTATTCGTGGAATTGGTTGATTCTAGGTAGGAAGGGGAACAAGTCGTGTTGCTTGTATGATTGGTTTAAATTCCCCTTTGATTTCTTGTAATCGGTTCTTGGTTTGAGATTCCGTTAATCTCTTTTAATCTGATATGCTTATAAAAAAAAAAGAATTTTCAAGTTTTAATCTAGGAAAAAATAAAAATAAGATGTGTTAGTAACAACTTTACCGTTCTATTGATTTGTATTTGAAGTTATGCATAGAGGTATTTGTAATGAATTGTAATTGTTATTAAGTGAATTTGTGTAATAGAGAAGTAAAATTGAAACAATTACTAAGCAGTGATAATGGTGTTAACCAATTCTAGAAGGTACAATGGACACTACAAGAAAATTTTGATTTTGCCTAGTGATTTAGTGACGTGGTAAACACGTGGGAAAAATACGTTGCGATGTGTAAACCACGTCACTAACATATTTAATTCATAAATTATGTAAACCTAAAATCTGCAACGAAATATTTGAATTTTAAGAGGGAGAGAAGTTTGAATTTTTCAAAAATTAAGTTGTGGCGTGCTAAACACATGAGAACTAAAAATTCAAAAAAGTCTTTTTATTTGTCACGTGGGGAGCATGTCACAAAGTACCCACATGCACTTCACGTCGCAAGTTTGTAAATAGTAAAGGTTCTCAGCTTTTACTTTTACTTTTCAGACACATTAATGCTGAAATTGAATGTGACAGGTTTTCCATGTGATTCCCGCGTCGCAAATGGATACATAAATATTTTAAAATATATTTTTTTACGGTTGCTTTGGCATCTAGTAATGCAACAAATGAGATACAGTGTAATAGGTTCCGACGTGGTTTTCACATAGGTACGTTCCCACGTGTCCACCACGTCGCAAGTCTGGTTATATATACAAAACCCATAATTTTTTTCACGCATCTGATTTCTTCTTCCTTTTCCTTCCTTCTTTCCTTTCCTCCTTCTCATTCTGTCTGCATTACTCCTCCACTTTTGAACGAAACCTTCACAAAAAATTTAAGGTGAATGATATTTATCTTGTTTTTGTTTTACAATTTATTTTAATTTTTTCTTATTATTAACTATTAATTTTTTTTTTCCAGATCTAAGATTAAGAAGTTCTTCCATTGAAGCTTTGGGAATTTGCTCCATTGAGATATTTACGCATTTAAATTTGTTTATTTTTCAGATTTATAGTGATATATGAAATATTATTTTGGTTATTGATTATAAAATTTTAGATTTGTTGTTGTTAGTGTATGTAAGTATGTATTGTGTTCTTGTTGTTGAAAGCTAAAATTAAAAATATTTTGTAATAAAATATGTATTTTTAAAATATATATTTTTAAAATTAAAAACATAATATATATTAGAAAAATATGTATTTTTAGAAACAAAATATAATTAAATATTTTTAGAAACAAAATATGTATTTTTAGAAACAAAATATATATTTTCAGAATTAAAAACATAATATATATTAGAAAAATATGTCATAAAATATATATTAGAAACAAAATATGTAATATTGTATTTAAATATGTATTTAGTTTTTAAAAACAGAATATATATTATGTTAGAAAAAGTAGAATTTTTAAAAATATTTTTAGTAAACAAAATTGTAAATAGAAAAAATTAAAATGTATTTTTTAAATTTTATAGTTAATATTTAATTGAAAATTATTTTAATTTTTTAAATTTTATAGTTAATATTTAATATTAATTTTAATTTTATAGTTATTTTCAACTAATATTTATTTATTTTTATTATTAAATTTTATAGTGAAGTGTAACCCATGTCACTAATATAAAACATATTTTCAGTTGTGGCATGCAAACCACGTTTTCTATTATTTTTGTTATTTGCGACGTGAGATCCATGTCACAATTTAGTGACGTGTTTTTCACGTGGGAAAATGTCCCCACCATTGCGTTTCCGACGTGTTTTACCCACGCCGCAAATGTTGCTTAGTGAAGTGTTTTTTGGGTTAGTGACGTGAAAATCATTTGGGAAAATGCAATGTTTCTTGTAGTGGGAATTTAAGAATGGGCTAGTAAAACTTAAGGCTTCCAAGAGAGAAGAGAATCAAAATTCCATCCACTAAATTCCCTCAATCATTTTCAATCATTCTCTTACTTAACCAAATTCACCAGTGTATTTTCTGTTATGATTCCTCACTTTCTTTCCACGTCTAAGTTTCTGAATATCCGGATTGTTTACCAAGTGTCATACCTCATCAAGGGAGTTAGTTACTGTGGTAATTTATTTTGTACCTTTGTGGTATTAATGACCGCTGAGAGGATTGATCGAACCTGATATAGCCATAAAGAATGACCCTGACATGACATCTGCAACTATGTTGTCTTTGTCGAGTTTATACTCAATTGTAAAATCAAAAATTCAAAAACTTATGTAACCACTTTTACTGCTTCGGAGTTTGGATAGTTTAATTAGCTAAAGCTTTTAAACTTGGTTGATTAGTTCTAATAATACGCTTATGGCCAAAGATATGATGCCTGAATTTAGCTAAGGTCTCAGTGACTGCATACAATTCCCTAACATATGCCGAATTGTGTTACATCAGAGTGTTAAGCTTCTTTGAAAAATGAGCAATAAGGTGTTTTTCTTGGCTCAGAATTGCCCCAATAAATGTACTAGAGGCATCGATCTCCAATATGAATGGCCTAGAAAAGTATGGTAGTGCCAACACAAGAGGCACAATGATAGCTTGTTGCAAAGTCACAAAAGCATCAGTAGCTAGCTGATTCCATTCAAAAGCATCCTACTTGAGTAGCATAGTCAAGGGTGAAACTATGGTTGCATGATGCCGAATGAACCTGCGATAGTAACCCAATAAGCCCAAAAAACACACAATAGTTTGAGGTTTATGGGGTAACGACCACTCTAGCAGAACTTTGACCTTGTTCTTATCTATTTACACACCTTGATTAGATATAGTATGACCTAAGTAATCAACTTCCATGAAGCCAAAGAAAAACTTGGATAGTTTGGCAAAAAGAGAGTAATGGCATAGTAGCCGAAGTACTTTAGTTAAGTGAGATAAGTGACCGGCCCAAGTAGGACTATAGATTAAAATTTTGTCAAAGAAAACAAGCACTGATTTTTTTAGTTGTGCTTGAAAGACATGATTCATAAGGCTTTGAAATGATGCAGGGGCATTTTATAGTCCAAAAGGCATCACTAGCCACTCATAAAGGCCTTAATGGCTTCTAAAAGTCGTTTTCTGTCTATCCTCATGCTTAAATAAGATTTGGTGGTACCTGGATCTCAAATATAACATAGAAAAATATTGTGCTCCATATAGCTCATCCAATAATTCGTCCACTATAGGTATAGAAAAGTTGTCCTTGACAATGATTACATTTAAAGCACGATAGTCAGTGCAAAATCTCCATGATCCATCTTTCTTCTTAACAAGAAGCACCGATGAAGAAAATGGACTGTTGTTGGGTTGTATAATACCATGTGTCAACATCTCCTTAACCATTGTTTCAATTTATGACTTCTGACTATATGGATAAAGATAAGGCCTGACTTTAACTGGGTCATGACTTCAACTAATGGTATAACATGGTCTTGAAACCTAGTTGGTCGCAATCTCTTTGGTTCAACAAACACAACATCAAAAGGAAGCAAGACAGCTGCTATGTCAGGATGTAAGTTAGGAAGCCATATGGTATCAGTAGGGAAGACCTTGTGAAATTAAAGGGTAAAAGTTGAATCCATAACTTTAGTGTGATGTAAACTTTTGATGTGGTTGAATTGCGCTTGGCCGAGTCCGTTTTGTGTGTCACCATATAAAGTAATAAAGTTGTTCATAACATAAAACTTTAGTGACAAAGAATTGTATTCAACGATGTGAGTGATAAGTGCTAAATTGTAGTGATATTGAGTGTAAATAATTGGCATTTATTGACTTAATTCAACCCATAAACCTCAACTTTTGTGCATATGCTGTATAGTTTATGTTGTAATGTATGTATTGCGTATCATGTAAATATGATTGAGTTTAATTGCTTTTCTCTCATTTTTGTAGGTATATAAGCAATAATATTTTGTCATTGTTTTATAGAGCATTGAATAAGCTTTCCAACGCTTCCAACCACGCGTAAAACGGAGTTACGGTTCAAAAGTTATGGTAAAAACAAGTGATGGTTTGCTGTCATGTTCGCTAGGCGAATAAAAGTTCGCAGTGCGAACAGGAAGTTCTAAAACGCGTGAAAAACACCGTTTTCGCAGTAGCGAAAGAGGCATAAGTTCGATGTGCGAACGGGACTTTGCTAGGCGAACATGAAACCATTTTGCCTATTTAAGTCATTTTTTCAGCACTTTTTAGGTTATGTTGTTTGAGAATTTTTTACTCCAACTTCATCAAACATATTCTTGAGTAGATTTAGCTTAGAAACAACATTGGAGGGTACATCTTGACGATCCAGAATCGAATCCACTTTAATCAAAGTTGACAGAATGTGAGATTTGTGTTCTTCTTCCTTCCTCTCTATGTATTTTTCATTTGTTGGGATTTTGTATGTAAGTTTATCTTGATTGTATATATACTTATGAATCTTTGTATAAAATCTCTTTTACAACTCTTTATCGATGATTATCTTGATTTTTTACTTAATGGGTTTGGATTGCTATAGACATATACAGTTCGAACTCGATCTAAGATGAACATCTGTTAGATTCTAAACTCTAGACATAGATTTAGGACTAATATTCACGTGAGTATCGGTTCTTAATACTCTGTGTTGTCGAGTTGTGTGAGACATCACCGATGAGACGATATAGTTTATCTCTCGACTTTGCGTTAGACATAACCTCTGTTATGAGCGATACGTGATGATATTGACGAGTGAATTAGGTTGCGTGCATTTGATTCATATATTTTTTAGTACATGATGGGTAGAACGAAATACAACTCCTGCCGAGTTTTCTCATTTCTTAAGAATGTATTTATTTTCTTGTCTTATGTTTTTCCTTTTGCATTTTTATCCCAAACCATTTAAACCCAAGCTTAGAGACGTAGAGATTGTCAAACGACATTCTTTCCCTCACACTAATCCCTGCGGAGACGACATAAATCTCAGAGGAAATTCTTCCGAAAATAATATTTTTGCTTGCCGCTTTACCGCTTCAATAGTGAGGTCCTAAGGTCTTTAACTAGGGTACACCTAACACCAAACCTACCCCAAAAATAGGAAACCAATACATAGGTAAATGAAGAGTGTTACCCATAATAGCTACTGGTAAGTCTGAAGTGTAGCCCATAGTGGTTAAGGAGTTTCCATTACCATTTAAGACTTGGAACTGAGCAGTTGATTGAATTGGAAATTATAGGTTGTGAGCAATCCTTGGTTACAAGAAATTACCCAAACTTCCACTATCCAATAACACAACCACAACAATTCCTTAAGTATGACCTTGGAAGTGCATTGTGCCCATACCATGTGACCTATTCAGAGCATTTAAAAACAAATGATGTTGTGAGTCGCCCAAGGGAGGTGTATCAGTTAAGGTGTGTGAAATTGGTTCAGGGGGTGGTTCAGGATCATCTTATTCCATTTGAAATAAGAATAAGTGGCAGTTTGGACACTTGTGGGTGATAGAGAATTTTTCATCGTAGTAGTAGCAAAGCCTTTTTTCACGGTAGAGTTGTATTTTTGCTTTGGTAATGTTTTTGACTGGGTGGCCTTTGAAAGACGAGTAGTTTGGTTTTGGAGTTGGTAACAATGGAGGTTGAGGATTATTTCTGGGTGGTATGTTGGGAACGGGAAAGTGATAAGGTTTGGTGGTGGAATATGGAGTTTTGGCCGGTGGTGGTAGGGAATACTTTCTTAAAAAAGCGAGCCAAAGCCTAAGGTTGGGACAAAAAGGAGGGTATTTGTGCAATAACATCGCGTTTGATTTTATATTTGAGACCACTAATGCAGGAATCAAGAGTTCCTTCAGGGCTCAGACCTTGGGATTGGTTTGCAAGAACAGTGAATGCAAAGTGGAATTGAGTTCTTGTGTTGGTTTATGTGAGTTTGAATAAATTGGGTCGGGGCAACTAATAATGTGTTTTTTAATTTTAATAAAATTAAAATTTTATTTTATCTCACGAGTTACTATCAGTACAATATCTATTTTATTTTAATTAATCATTATCTTAATTTTAGAGTCAAAATCTTTATTTCTAATTTTTTTTCATTAACCATCTCATAGTTTTTTTTAATGATTATTTAATACAATTAGATTTATATGATTATTGTTCATTTTACAATTAAGTAAATCATTCCAAATTTTGCATGTGTATCTAAATACATTTCATATCGTATCAAATAATTTTTTGATCTCACGCGTCATTATCATCACAATATTTTATTTTAATCAACAATATACCTAGATTTAAAAGACAAAATCATTATTTCAAAATATCAAATTTTCATTTTTTTTCATTCTCCTCACAAATTATTTTTTTCCCTTCATTTTGTATAGTTATTTAATAGAATTGAGTTTTATATAATTATTTTTTAATTTACAATTAAGTATCTAAATTTTAAATTTACATCATCAAGTTGGTAGATGGTAGATGCTATTTCTATGTTTGGGGAGGTAGATCATCAAGTAGGTGTAAAGATTTATACAGTATATAGGAAAAGTTGGGGATTGAAGGATAAAATTGGTTTGATATGAATTTGGTTTCTATGAATCATTCTTTTTTTGTTTGTTTCTTTGGTTTATTAAAATATCGTCAAGTAGGAAAAATTACTATATTTTTTATGTGTTGTGTGTAATCTGTGGACTGTGGTGTATATATCATTATATGTGTTAGTGTGACATATTTGGCACATTTGTTCTACTGTCTTCTAAAGGTAACCATAATTAAACACTATGGGTCCACAGCCATATGTTATCACCTAACTAACCAATAATTTTAGCAAAATAAATTTCCTCACGCAAGCTCAAATTTTATTGATTCACTTCTCATTTAAAGTAACCAAAAGTTCTATAAATTGGGTTAATTTTGGCAAGAGAGTAATCAATCACATTGGTATACTAATACTATGGCAAAAATCATCAACACTTGGCTTATTTTATTTCTCCTTGTTGTGACAATTATGAATGGTTCATATAGTGTTGAAGCTACAGCAAGAGGTAACAAATTGGAAAAGAATGATTCTGTTCACAAATCTCAAAAGTTTGGGAAAATGATAGATTGCATGATTTTACATCATAATTGTTTGGTTTATCCTTACTTGTGGCCTTTGTATTATATGTTTTGTTCTCTCTAAAGGTGAAATTCTTCTATGATTAGTGATGGTGTATTATTGATTGCTATATCAGTATTAATTAATGTTGTGTGTGTAAGATATTGTATTTTATGCTATGAGTTTGTATTATGGTACCATATGTTATCGTTGACTATATGCAATATTTAATGAGATCCTTACAAAACTCATAGAAATTACATTGGAATATCTCTTCTGAAGGACTATTTTCACATCTTCAATTTTATTGATCAAATCAAATCTGTTACTATGATTCCAAATACACCAATTAACCGCCAACTACTCATTCCTTTCCATTTTTGTTATTCTTCTTCTTAACCTCACTGCTAATATTTAAAAAATTCATCAAACAGAAACAACAGAAAACACCAAGCACGTGAAGTGTCTAGAAAAAGGAAAAAAATAAGGTACATAAAGAAAATATAAGCCAAGAAAAAGGAAAAAACAGAAGTTAAACCAAAATAACTATAGAACAACCTAACTACTCAGGCTAGAACTCAAACTAACTAGGTCCACAATCAACATATCAAAATTCAACAGAGAAGAAATTGGAGACCACCAACCACTGAATCAAGACAAATACTCGATCCCAATAGACACATGTAGAGGATAAAATTTTGAAGGCAATTCATAAAGAATCAAAAAATTTACAGAGATTTTGTATCTTATAGATTGTGGCATCAAATGCATTCATCCAATTTTCTCTTATAAATAAAAATGAATAATATTAATTTGTTCTTTAAGAGCACGTGTTAAAAAATTATAAATGGAAAATATGTTAAAAAAACAATTATAAATTTTTAATGGCATTAGTATACAATTTTAAAAATTAAAAGTTTAACAATTAACACAAAATTTTTATTTATAAATTTATTTAACACATGTCCTTGAGACCCAGATTAGCATTACCGATAAAAATAAGAAAATAAGAGAAAACAAGAGAAGTTAATATAAAATGCTTTGTTACCTAACTCCAAGGCATTCAATTTTTTTATAAATAACAAAGCAAATCAATAAATTAACTAAAAGAAAAAAGATCCGAGAGTACAAATAAAACAAGAGCATGAGTTATGCTCAGAAAAAAAACAAAATCGACAAAAGACATCGACTGAGATAAAACAGAAGCCACCAGAACAAGTCGAAACCAAAAACAGACCAATAAAACCAAAATCAAACCCATAAACATCATGAAAATAACCTAGAAGAAAGAAACGACAACCACCACTAGAGAAAAAGACAACACACAGTCTAAAGGTAAGAAATAGAGAAAAGAAAAAAACACGACCACCTACAGGAACTAGAGAGAGGTAGCTGGCAACTCAACCCTTTCATAAACTCAAACACACCCGAGTCGGTCCCGTTCCCAATCTAACAGAGAAAAATATGAAATGGAACCATTGGAGTAAACACACATCTACGTTAGCTGTAACACCCCCTTTCTATACCCCAAATAATACAATTAATCATTTAGGCACAAATTCAAAATTTCATCAGAGTAAGTTTATAAAAGGGTATAAAAGGGACATGCCACATTATCCGAAAATCACACATATAAAACACCTGCTCATATATAATGATATGCAACATCGGGGCAACACCCACAAAAAAAATATTTAGAACAAAGGCGGAAACATCTAAATATTTAATAACTTCCAAAATATGTAATCACATACATGTACATCATTCAAGTTGATTTACAACAACATCGATATTTAACCAGCATGTTTACATAAACATTCGTCAGCAGATACAAACATAGATGTATCACAAAAGAATCAAAATAATCCCTAGCTACCCGGTGCTACATATCAGAGCCGACCGACCAAAAAGGGATAGTCACACTTCACAAAAATACCTCCAGCCAACTAATCTGCAATGTCTCATAGGGCATTATAAAACAGCAGAAGGGTGAGAAACAATATCATAATACATAATGCACATAAACATATATATATATATATATATATATATATATATATATATATATATATATATATATATATATATATATATATATATATATATATATATATATATATATATATATATATATATATATATATATATATATATATATATATATATATATATATATATATATATATATATATATATATATATATATATATATATATATATATATATATATATAACATCCAATAACATCGTTTGCGTTCTCACCACAACTCATCTCACTACACCGTACATCGCAATGTATTCAAAATATCTATTCACAAATAGAACACTGAGCATACACAATATACATCATGTAAAGATGATAAATGCAATTCATAGAGGCCAACTCACTACTCTATGCAAACGTAATACGATACCGACTTAATCGTCCATCAGATTCTCCTAAGAATCAATTCACTCACGCCCCTCACGGTTACACTATAACTCATCAGATTCACCTAGGAATCGCATTGCTCATCAGATTCTCCGAGGAATCACATCGTTCATCAGATTCTCCGAGGAATCACATCGTTCATCAGATTCTCCGAGGAATCACATTGTTCATCAGATTCTCCGAGGAATCACATTACTCATCGGACTCTCCTAGGAATCACACTACTCATCAGACTCTCCGAGGAATCACATCTCTCATCAGATTCTCCGAGGAATCACATCGCTCATCAGATTCTCCGAGGAATCACTTCACTCATCAGATTCTCCGAGGAATCCTATCACTCATCGGACTCTCCTAGGAATCCTATCACTCATCGGACTCTCCTAGGAATCCTATCACTCATCAGATTCTCCTAGGAATCAACAGCACAAGAACGTACTTCATGAGGTTTCGCATGCAAAATGACTCCACACACCTCTTGAAATGCATACATGTTTACAAACATACTCATGCATTCTTCACATTCATCGCATATATTCATTATGCATTCACAATATATATACATATCACAATACATATATACATATTCATCATTCATTCACCACATGTGTAACACCCCAATTCAACCCCTCGTAATAAATAATAAAATCAGAGTTTCAAAATTTCATCCAAACATAAATTGAGGTATCACATATTCATTTTCATCACTTTGCAATATAATGCACAACACAAAAATCAAAAGTCGGATATACCGATTCATATCATTAACATCATATAACCATATGAGTATTCACAAAATATACGCATCAACAAGTTATCATCAATACATAAATTCATAAAGTCATAAAATAGTATACATAAACTATCATATCCAAAATAATAACGTCGCCCAAATCCCGAGTGTTACTACTATCAGAGCAGAGCGACTCAAAAAAAAAAGAGACTCGAGCTAATCCACATCATCCTCGCGGATCACCTGCACGTTACCAATATAAAGGCAACGGTGAAACAAGTAAAGGGTGAGATACTCCAAAACATATAATTAAAGGCATGATGAAATATATGAATAGTTTGGAATCATAAATGATATAGGATTAATAAGAATATATTAACACATATCCAAATCTCACACACTTTAAATCATCATTTAGTGTATAGAATCAACACTTTAATTTCGTCACATACTCGCCATAATCATATCAAAACAAGATATAAACTCCATCGCCATAAATTCATATCGTCGCTTTACCGCCATGTTATATTCGTCGCATAATCCTCGTGAATGTATCAAATCATAATCACTTTATGTTTAACATAAAAATGATCACAAAATAAAGTATCCTACAACATCACAATTCATCATAAGTCATCAAATAAAACTCAATGCCAAAAGACTCAAAATAAACATAACCGACTCCATGAGACACGACTATGTTATGCATGTGGTACCCGTCGCTTTGTCCATAATTAGGGACATTTGGCATAAAGCCCATCGTCGCTTTGGCATAAAAGCCCTCGTCGCTTGGCATAAAAGCCCTCGTCGCCAATGCAATGTATGTGACTTGACAACACGACATCACAAACACGACACAACAAAAACATCATCATCACGCATCAAGATTGGCATAAAGCCCACGTCGCCATACTTATCCACATCAAGATAAACATATCATCGCATCGCATATCATCAAGTATTCATTATAAATAAACCGTCGCAAACATCATGTTTAATCACACCACATCATTATCAAATAATTCACTTCATTCCAAACATGGAAAAATAATCAAACATCAATAATCGTCGCAAAAGTCATTCATAATAATCGGCATCAATCATAATTATCAACGTCGCAATCGGATTGTCCATACGCGACTTAAACCGACTAAAATGCAACCCGTTTAGAATTAACCGTAAATTGGCCTATTTTGGGTCACTCCGTTAAAAACTCGTAATCTCTAAAAACTAACCTCACCACGACGTTCTACACGTCAAAGTTAGCTAGCACGTCAATTTTCGTCCAATTCGGAGTAACTAGCTCCGTCGCCGAAATTACCGAAATCGAGAAATCAGAACATAATCGGGTTCCAAATTAAATTGGCTAACTTATTTCATATTTGTATTTAATTAATATAATTATTTAATATATATAATAATATAAATAGAACTTTAGCAGAAACAGAGTTTCTGCATAAGTTTTCCTGCATAACTTTTTTTTTTTTTTTATAACATTAATATAATTAGTTTTTTCTTTTCTAATTTAATTATTCTTAATTAATTCAATAACAATCCAACAACAACAATAACACCTAAATCAATTCTTCTAACCTCTATCAAAATCACTCAACACAACTCATAAACCCTAAAAATCAATTTTATCCCAAATCAAAATATACCAAATCAAACTCTAACTATAGGCATTGGAAAATCAAACCCCTTACCTTATATACTTGAAATGATTCTTGATGATTCAACCAACCCAAAACCCAAGCTTTGTGTTCTTGTTCTTCTTCTCTTCTCCAAGACCCTCTAGCTCTCTCTAATGCCTCTAAGTGTGTTTTGTGAGTTATGACATAAAACAAGGTGTATTTGGTTTTGATTAGTAGCAAGACATAATTCAAATTACCAATTAGCCCCTCTTAAAATATACTACTC